AGAGAGAGAGAGAGAGAGAGAGAGAGAGAGAGAGAGAGAGAGAGAGAGAGAGAGAGAGAGAGAGAGAGAGAGAGAGAGAGAGAGAGAGGGCGTAGACATCATCTGGGAGAGGATGAAGTAAAATCAATTCAGACCAGTTGCCAGTAAGTCAAAGGTAACGAGCTTATAGCTTGTGTCCGTAGATAACATGCAATGGACACACCAGACTTTCCAATGTTGTGACTGGGTGGATGGATGGATTCATGCATGAACACATGGATGGATGGGTGGATGCATGAACACATGGATGGATGGATTGATGGACGGATGGATGGATGGATGGATGGATGGATGGATGGATGGATGAATGGATGAACGGATGAACGGATGAACGGATGAATGTGTGAATGGGTGAATGGATGGATTGATTGTTGGATTGATTGTTGGATGGATGGATGGATGGATAGATGGATGGATGGATGCATGGATGCATGGATGCATGGATGGATGAACGAAATTCCGTCAGTGCTGATAAGGGGTGGGTTTTGGACCTGACTGGTGAAAGAGGTTTGTGGTGGCTGTCCATGATCTGAGAAGCGTCATCCGTCACCAACGTATGCTGCCACTCTGTGACAAAGTATTGACAGTGTTTTGCTTGTCCAGATTGTCCATCCTTCACTGGAGCAGGCTGACGGTGCCCATGTTCTCCTCCTCAGTACAGTACTCCAGCACAGCTTCCCTGACGCGCCTGGCAAGGACCTTCATGCCTGGCATCCGGTTGAGCCATGGCGCATAGAATTGAAACCCTTCATTCACCAGTGTCAGCAAATCGAGCAGGTGGTCATTTGCATCAGCGAGTATGTCCACTTCTCTCTCTGACTTGCACAGATTGTCAACTAACAGCTTGTTCCGCTTTCCGACCTTCTTCATGTCTGCTAGAAAGGACTGACACTTGCGGTGCCAAGTGGCACCCTCTGCTTCCATGCGCTGCACAGTCTGTTCACACAACTTCTTCAGCCGTGTGCATTCTGCGATTCTGCATCGCTCCTCAGCCGTCAGCGCTCCGTGAAGACTTCTCACGCTCTTCTCCAACTCCATAATCCGTGGCTGCAGCATCGCCCTCTCTTTCTGCCATGAGAGCATCTGCTCCTTTTGAGTGTCGCCTCGTCCATAGCGCAGTCCCAACAGCCGCTCTCTGGAACAATGGCTGGTTCCGCATTGCCCCTCCACATCCGTTCTGTAGGACATTCTCAAGAATGCATTTCCCTCAAAATGGGGGAGTGGTGATTGTGATTGCTGCTCTAGGGCATGTGCCGAGTGATGAACATGTGGCAACATATTCCCTGCACCCTTCACTGTTCGATGTTCGTTCCCTCTCTCCTCCCTATCCTCCAAAACGGCAGTCTTGAGCACACTGCCAGGTGTGCAGCCACTTGTGGGAAAGCTCTGCAAGCTACAATCAACAGGGGGTGGAGGACAATGAGGGAGGAGAGGACCTGCCAGTGAGTCTCTGCTCACTGTGGCTGTAGTGCCAAGCTGAAGTCCCTCTTCTTCTCTCGTCACAGCCGTGACATCAGTCAACCCCACGGACGATGGGACATCATGAGAGTCCCACAGACGAGCATCGACTTGTAGACAGCCCTCCTCTGGCTCCTTGTCCTTCTTTTCCTCCTCCTCGTGCTTCTCATTACGTCCTCTGATGCATCCACCAACATTCATGAGGGCAAGATTCTCAGTGTCATTTAAGTGGAGCGATCTAGTGCAATGGCCTTCCGTCCTGTCAACGTCATTCCGTTCAGCAGGATTGTTTGCGCTGCTGATCGCCAGGTCGTCATGACTGATGTCTTGATGATCGTGGCAAGACGGGTTTGTACTTCCACTTGCTCCCTCCGCATGTCCTTCTCGTTCTTCATTAGACTCTCGCAGATACCTCTGACTTCTCATCTCTACAGGACCTTGGAACATGGTCCACTTTTCCATCTTGAGCTGGAGGTCAGCAATGTCTCCCCATCCCCTGGCTGTTGCCTCGCATTGAGAAGTCGCTGGTTTGCCCTTCCACCTCTCAGCCATTAATGGCGACGATTGTTTCTGCTCAGCCATCCTTTTCTCCTCAGGCTGAATCTCCATCGTCGCCACCCTCTCCTCCGTCGTACATTGCCCACTTTCGATCCCCACCATCGACTTTAGCATTCCCAACTGTCTCTCTGTCATCAGCACTGCACTGCATCGGGATGCTATTTCTTCTGCCGACGCAACTACATCCCTTGCAGCGGAGTCCACCTCGTCCAGCCTTCCTTCTATCGTAGCCATCCATCCCCTCGTCTCTGACTCTATGGCTACCAGTTGTTGTTCTGCTGTCATTACTGCATTCTCACTATGTTCAAGAAACGTCTGCAACACTCTCCTCTCCACTCTCTCAGTCTCCTCCATTTCGAAGCTCAAACATTGACCAGTTCTTCTTTCGGTGTCTGTGATTCCATCATGGTCTGCACATTTAGTTTTGCCGTCTGCAGTTCTTTTGTCAATGGCAACCCTTTCGTCGTCTGCGACTTGCTCATCGTCCATCTTGTCCGACTTCCACCGCGCTGCCACAAATCTTGTATCTGTTTCAGTAACAGTTCTCCTCTCAAGGTCCGACTCTCGCTGATCGGTAAGACATGACCTCCCTAGCTCCACCTCAACTCCTATATCAACACCCTTGGCAGTCACTGCCATGTCCGTCTCGAACCCTCTCTCGAGCGGCTCCGTCTCCAGACCAGTCTGCTGCTGCAAGACCCGCTGGTTCATCTCACCCTGTGCTTGCAGTTTTCCATCAGGTGACCTCGATTGCAGCACATTTCCGGCGACTAACAGGATGTCATCCCTCCCATCGACACCTCTCTCTTCCTCCTCTACTTCTTCCACCACCCTCCTCCTACACTTGTCTCTGCTTTTGTCCTCTCTCTCTCTCGTCAGACTCCCACGAGCCACTGCTTCCCCGTCAGAACGCTCATCACCAGAGGGGAACTCCATTGCTGCAAACTTTCTCACTAACTTCACACGCATGTTTCTCAGTGCTGACTCTAATCTTATAACGCACTTCCCAAACTCACTCTCCATAGAGTGGATTCGCTCTGCAATTGTCACTTCTCTCCCTCTCTCTAGGCACTTCCGGTGGACTGACGCATGACCACTGCCGCCGTCCTCATCACCCCCAATGTCATCACCACCGTCAGGACCATCATCATCACCACTACGATCAACATCACAGTGATCACCTCGCTCAGGATTATCCAATTGGTTAACAAAATATGGACTCTCGACAATTCTAATATCGAAAGCATCTAGTTTCCGATAACTAAAGACGGACGCAGGAGATTGGTAATTTGACATCGCAGTAAAACCCATCGGGCTGTCAATGTCTTTTTTTTCTTCTTCTTCTCCATCCAGTTGTAAGGGTATTATGGATAGGGGTACCAGTGGATGCAATTCCATGGTATCATTTTGCGCTTCACGTACTTCTTGGAGCACCGCAGTTGCTGGGTCCTCTTGCTGCAGCTGAGGCCGCACAACGACCACAGATTCCTGATGCTTAAGGCGAGGAGATCGAAGAACCCTTGCTATTCGGTAATGTTCCTGCAGTTGATGGTCTATATCATCTATCACCATGTCCACCTCAAGAACTGCGGTCTCAATAGCTGAGAATATGCTTTCTTGACTTTCTTTTGTAGCACAATCATGAATGGCCTCCTTCTCAGGCGTTGTTTGTCCCTCCATGACTAAAGACACTGCAGCAGCCTTTGATAAATCCTCGCCATTCTTTCTCTCTGATCTTGCTACCTCTTCTGAGCCTTCTTCACTATTTTTCTCGCTACATTTCAGATCCTCCGCTCGTTCTTCCATCTCCGCAATCTGGATTGCAAGCTTATCATCTTGCTCCCGCATTTCGTTCAACAAGCATCTTAGTCCCTGACGCCAACAGTGAACCTTGTCGAGGAGAAAATGTTTCTCCTTGCTCTTGTTCTCTACATCCTGTTTAAGGACCTCTATCTTCCTCTCCTCCTGACACAATCGGACGTGGAGACCCTCCCTCTCCCTCTCATCATCCTCGAGCTTCACCTTCAGCGATGCAATCTCTTTCTCGTCCTGGTGCAGCTTTACACCAAGCGTCTCCCTCTCCCTCTCCTTTCTCCTGAGCTCTACCTGCAGCGATGCTCGCTCTTTTTGCTCCTCATTCAATCTGACTCGAAGGGCCGCTGTCTCCACTTCCTTCTCCTCCATCTTCACGTCCATCTCCTCTACTACCTTTTCCAGTGACACTTTGTCACGTTCCTCTTGATCCAACCTCACTTGGAGAGCTTGTGTCTGCTTCTCCTTCTCTGCCAGGGCGATGCACAGTGACACTA